CACTGGTGTAAATCAACTCAGAAATTTTCTGATAAACGGTGGATTTTCTGATAACTTGACAAAAATACATCAGATTCGAGTATTTTCTGATAACATCAATGATTTATCAGAAAGAGGTCATCAGAAATGTTTTTTTCTGATACTTTCATAGGTTATCAGAATAGAGACATCGAAAAGGATGGCCTTTCTGATAAGTCGATCTGATCGCTGAAAACCCCCTGCTACTTATCAGAAATTTTAACCGTCAGAAATGTTTCTGATGTCTGGTGTTCAAAAAAATGAGATCCTGTATAATAGGGAAAGGGGTTTAGTAATTCAATTTGCAAATTTGGTGCGGGGTCTTGTTTAAGAGTGCGTGCTGTGGCCTTTTCGATCTCACGCCGCTCTGGGGGAATCATCATTTACTGCCCCTTTTTGCGTGTTTGAGGGCGGGGCGCGCTCATTTGGGCCCTCCCAATTTGGATGGACCGGTTTCCGATCCCCTAAAGGGGAAGGGGGTTTTTGCCGTTTCCGGGTCTCACCGGAAAGATCGGAATATATATATCCGTGGGGGAAAGAAAATTTGTTTGTTCTGAATATTTCATGAAAATGGGGGGTCCAAAGCCCAATGGTATGTCAGATCTATGGCGTCGTCGGGGAAAATTGGGGGAGGGGGGGTTTAATCAGAAACTCAAACTTTTCGCGAGAAGGTGACCGAACGAATCCCATTCTGAACTTCAGGCAGCGCAGAGACCTGTGTCTGTTGCAAAAGTTTCAGCCCGAATTTCTTTGGAGGCGGGATTTACTTGTTGCTCTCTCTCTTTTTTTTTTCGTCACTGCGATACTGGCTGGCTCGGGCTGGCTGCTCTGCTCAAGTCCCCGTGAGCCCCCCTCGGGCCCCCCTCGGGCCCCACCCCCTGTCTTTCTTCCCCGGAGAGATTCGCGCGGGCTTAGCACCCTGCATTGACCTAGCTCCCTATCTGGCGCGCTTAATTCAGCCCCTACCCCCCTTTCCGCCACACCCGCTGTTGCCCCCGTCTGCCACTTCGCTGCTCATATTTTCTTGTGTTGTTGTTCTTCGCTTCCGCGTCCTTATAAAGCCTGCCTGGCCTGGCCTGCCTGCCTGCCTGGCCGCGTCGCCGACCTCCAGCCATATTGCCCGGCCCAGAAAGGTAAACTCGACCTCGACTCTGTGTGTGTGTGTGTGTGTGCGCGCGCGCGCGCGTGTGTGAAGGTGTAGGTGTGTGCGTGTTGTCCTGCGGCTTCCCTCAGATTGTGGAGGATTTTTGCGAGATGGTGTGTGGGTCTGTGTGGGGCACGTGGTGGGTGGCTGGCCCTCGGCTGGCCCCGTGTTTACGTAGCCTCAAAGTGCCGAGGTGCGCGAAATGGCCGGGGGTGGGGGTTGCTGTCCACAGGCCGAGGTGGTGACTCCGCAGGCAGTGACTCCACAGGCAGTGGTGTGGCGCCCAGTGGTGGCGCCCGGGGTGGCAGCGTCGCCCCGAGGCATCGCCTAACGAAGACTTCTCAGGTGCCCGCGACCAAGAGGGGAGGGGGGCGGGGTGGCATCCTTACGCAGCAGAAAGGATGTCTCTTCGCAGCCCCGGCGGCTGGCCGGGCTGGCCGGGCTGGCCGGACTCCAGCGCCAATAATAAGGGGAGATTGAAGCCAGCAGCCACGTAGCAGCGCGCACACTGTATGTGGGTGTGGAGGAAGAAGGTGAGGTTGGAGGAAACCTACAGCAAGCGGCTGCAGGGTCCACCGAGGTGAGACTCAGCACACGCCTCCGCTTTACCCAACCACTTTCCTGTCGCAAAAGTTTTTATGCAGTGTGAGAGTAGCTACGTTAGTGGCAATGTTGAACCCTGCACCACCACAACCACCGCACCACCCCGCTTGAAATACGCAGCAAGACTCCTTGACATGAGCATGCCATGCATTATTGGGTAACAGTGTTGCCGTGCCGCGCACCTGTGGCAGTAAAACTGGACGGCCGACATGCACAGTGCCACACCTCGTGCAGAGCACACCGGCCGCAGCATCGCGCCAGGTGGACGAACCCTGCAACCAGTGCACCACACGCGGCCCCGCGGCCCCGCGACCACAACACCGGCAGCCGCGCGCCGAACTCGCACTCCGAGTTTGGAATTAAAACACAACGCGCTGCGGAATAACTTTCTCGATTCCGCTCCCCGTTTGTTACTTTTCAAAAAAAAAAAACAACTATTTTTGTTTTTAAGCGCCTCTGTGAGCCGGAAGGGTGCGCCGGCGGCGCTGGCGGCGCTGGCGGGTGACAGACGCCCGCGACATGTCGCCGTGCTTTCGTCACGGACATTAACAATGCAGCGGCAGCGTGCAGCTTGGGGCCGGCGGCGGGGTCGCGGAGGGGAGCGGGAGGGGTGGGGCCGCAATTGAAAGGGGGGGGGGAGGAATAAAACGGGGAAGGCAGGGTGCGGACAGAAAACACAAAGACAATGATGGAAAACAGACAGGCGCACACGCACACACGCACGCACACACGCACGCCGGCGTGCGATCGTGTGTCGAGCATTGGTCCTGGTTCTTGGTCTGATTGATGGAGGGGAGCAAGGCGAATCGAATTGAATTGACAAAAACACACAGACACCCCCGACCCCGACCCACACCCCGGCCACGCACACTGACACTCTCTCCCTCACACACAGACACCGCCGCCCCAAGACTGCTCGCGGCGTGGCACGGCACGGCCGCGAGGTACCGCACCTCGTGCCGCACGGTACAAAGAAGTAGGTTGGAGCCGCGGAGCGAGTTAGGATGATGAGGGGAGGGGCATGAATGGGAGATGAAAACAGGGCCGTTGTACAACGTTGCAGTGCGGTCCGCGCTAAGGGCTTGGCTGTGGCTGTTCTGCGCCCCGCCCCCCCGCCCCGCCCCGCCCCGCCCCGCCACAGGGTTGCTGGCCGAGGGTCGGGCCCGCGAGGGTCGCGCGGGGCGGCGCCCCGGAAGGCGGCAAACAGCATTGAATAAATTCACCTCCCGGATACACTGGCCTCGCCCCACCCCGCCCAGAGAGATCACGTCCGGCTGCGAGTGAAAACCCCTCCGCCCCGCCCCGCCCCGCCCCGCCCCGCCTCCATCGAAACACTGCCAGGGCGCGGCGCGGCACCCGGAGCTTTCAAAGCCGCGTTGTTCGTTGTTCCTCGAGCAGCGATGCGCGCTGTTCGGCCCGCCCCCGCCGCTGCAGACTGGGAGTCTCTCTCGCACTCGTGGGCCGTCCCCTGCAGGTGCGAGAGAGGCAGAGCGACGAAAGCGACGCTGCTGCCGCCATCCGCCTTCCCCTGCCACGGCCCCTGCCACGCCTGCACGCGCGGGGCGGTCGCGCTAACCTGGACCCGTTGCGGACACGGTGTCGCCTCCGCAGCGCGTTTAATCCCATCTGTTTGCGCAAACGCCTTCCCTCCGTCCGCAGTGCGCCCGAAGCGGCCCGAAGCGGCCCGAAGCGGCCCGAAGCCTCAAGCCTGAAGGGTTGACGTTCCGCTTAGCGCGGCTGCCAGGCGCTGCCAGGCGCTGCCAGGCGCTGCCAGGCGGACGCCACGGTTGCCGATTGTCGCGAGGCGACGAGTCCGCGTCCGGGAAGGCTCGACGCCTCCGAACGGCGAGGTGATAAATGGTGGCGTCATCGCGTCCGCGCGGCTCGGCAGGGCAGGGCGCGGCGCAGCGGCAGGTGTCGCACCGGGGCACAGCTGTCCCTCCCAGCGGAAGGCCGCCCGGATATCGCCTCTGTCCAGCAGTCCTTTCCTACTTCCGTCCGTTTGCCCTGTCTGTCCGTCTGTCTGTCCGTCTGTCTGTCTGTCTGCCTGTCCGTCCATCCGCCTGGCTGTCGCGGCGTCTCGTGGCGAGGCCCAGCCCGGCCCAGCCCGGCCCGGGGGCGGCCGCGGGCTAACTTCCCCCTCCTCCCCCGGGACTGATGCCTAGCCGAGTGGAAAGTGGTTCAGCTCGCCTCCGACGGCGGCAAGACGGCCAGCTGGCGGCCACGGCGGGAAAAAAAGGGGTACGCGCACCGAGCGGCGTTCGTCATGATTATTTGAACAAAAACCGCCGAACCGGCGGACCGGAGCGGGTTGGGGGGAGTTGGGTTGGACGGACGGATGGCGGAGCCCTGCGTATTGGGAGAGCCCGGACGTCGGCTCCTCGTCGGGTTCGGCGTGGCCACTGCACCCTGCCCTGTCAGGCCCAGCCAACTTGATGCTGGACAGGGATGCGGACTTCCGGCAGCGTTACTGCCGCTCGTAAAATTAGGGCGAGTCGACACCGTACACTGCGGACACGGCCTGGGGTGCGGACCAGGCCGTAGCCAAGGCCGTGGCCGAGGCTGCCCGGACGAGGCGGCAGGCTTTATCGGGGCTCCTAGCAAGGGGCTAGAAAAAAACAAAAAACAAAAACACGGGAAACAAAGATGGACATGCAAAGTTGGAGAGACAAATATGGCGGTGGAAGGAGAGGTTGGGGCACTGGATACACGTGGGACTGCCCTTTTATCTGTCCACTAACGACGAGGGAAGACAAAAGCTGGGCCCGGGCAGTGACCCGAATAAAAATTGTTTCTTAATTAATGCGCGTGAAAGGAAAAAAAAAGAAAATGACAGTCCAGGGGGTGAAACCCTGGCGTTTGTTCGTTGGGATTTTTTTCTCGTTTTTTTTTTGTTACAAAAAAAAGGTGGCGAGGATGAAAGAGCCAAGCCGTGCAAACAGGACAGTTATCGGAAATGTGACAGCGGGAGCACGACCCCACCCCGCCCCACCCCGCCCCACCCCGCCCCGCCCCCACGAAGGCCCTCTGTTGTTCCCGGCCTGCCTAGTGGACACTGCGGACACTGCGGACACCAGGGTGCACCACTAATCGTCTCTCGCTACACTTCATCGGACCGGTCGCTGCATAAGCGCTGCGCAGTGACACTTTTTTTTTTTTTTTTCATATCGCCTCTGGCCGTGCGGCACGGCGGCGGGCGGTGGCGGTGATTGCAGGCTTACCTTGCGGATCCAGGCCCGGCCCTCCTCGCTGCGGCCCCTCCATCGCCGTCCGTTACACTGCAACAGAAAGGAAGAGGAATCGGTAATTCGGACTGTCGTTACGCCGCGCGGCTCGCTGCCAGGCTGGAGCCTCCAGGCCGTGCTCCAGGCCGTGCTCCAGGCCGTGAGCGAGTGCGTAGGAAGATCGCGGAGCACGTTGAGCCGATCCGTCTTGCACACGGCGCGGCACGGCACGGCACGGCGCGGCGGCCCGGTACAGCCGAAAGCTTAAAGTCGCATTACAGCCGCCGTGGCGGCGCGTTATTTGGACGAATGGCCGGCCGGTTGGAGGCAAGGCGCCTCGGAATGGACCACTGCGTCATCCACGGGGACCTACACTCTAAACGTTGAAATGAATTTTTGAGCTATGTTATACAAGTGAATTTGGTGCAATGAGGAATTTCGTAAGGTTTTGAAGTGTAAGCCCGGTACGGTTTGCGTTGGTGTACCCAGAGTACAGCAGTGAGGGCGCCTGGCGCGCGCCGCGTTGCCGCCGCGTTGCCGCCGGGTACAGGTGCGGCGCTCCGCCCGGCTCGGCCCGGCCGGCGGCACGAAGGCCCGCCGCCCCGCCGCTCGAAGGGTGTCTTCCGGCGACACGCAGCCACTCCCGCCGCGCGCGATAACGTAGGGATCCGTCCGGGGGGAGCGCCGCCCGGAGGCAAATTCAGACGCGGCTATCTCGATTCTCCCCGTGGCTGCTGCGCCTGCTGCGCCCCTACACCGCTAGCCCGGCCCCAGCCCGGCTGGCTCGGCAGCGCCCTGGCAGCACCACGTCCTCTCCTTCGGCTTCTTCGGGGCCGCCGCTACCTCGGCCGCCGTTACCCGGGCCGCCCTTCCCCGCCCCGCCCCCGAATTCCTTTCCGAAAACAAAGTCCGGCCGGTGGTCGCTGGGGCCTTCCCGTGGGCCTTCCCGTGGGCCTTCCCTGAGGGCCCCAGCCAGCCGGCCCGCGTCGCCTGCGCCGCCCACAGCCGCTGGAAGTTGGACAAGGCGCAGGACGGAAGCCGCGACCCGTGGGGACGAGAAGAGCCACATATTCTGAAGGCGGAGGGGAGACGAGCCGGTCGAGTCCGCGACAGACTGCCACAGCACTGCCACAGCGCGGTACTGACACTGACAGGCGGCGAAGCTGAGGCGGTGACGAGCGCGACCGCGCCAGAGCAAGGAGGAGGGGGAGAGAGTCGCCAATAAAGTATTTCGATTATCGCAGCGCGGCGCGGCGGCTGTGCAGCCTGGCCGCGCCAGCGCGCCATAGGGACAGCAGATGCAGGGAACTTGCTTTACGAGCAGGGAGCCACTACCCGCAGTAGGCCGGCCCGGCAGGCAGGCAGGCAGCCAGGCAGGCAGGCAGGCAGCCAGGCAGGCAGGCAGGCAGCCCCGCGGCGCCGCCCTCCCCCGCCGACTTCATTGTGGCCCATATCTCTCCCCGTGCACCAACTTGCCACATTCCGCGCTCACGCATCCGCCATCCGCCGCGATCTGGGCCGCCGGGATCCTTAAATCAAGGCGCGCGGCAGCACGGCGACGCACGCACACAAGTAATTCTATTGACTGTAGGACTGGCTCACAAAGGTCTTGCTGCTGTGTTGCCACGGCAAGGCTCACAAGTTTCATCGTGTGTTACGGGCGCGTGGGAGTGTGTGTGCGTATGTGTGTGTGCCCCTCGCATGCCTGCGTAGGTGTGAGAAAGCAGGAAGCAGCCGCCGCTCCCCAGACGGTCTTATCCTGAAGCAAAACGTATTGCCCCCGCGGCCAGGTCGACCGGGTCCGACACACGCAAACACGTGCACGACGGCGTGTCATCCTTCTGGCCCTTGTGTGGCACCTCGTGTGTCACGCCGCGTCCTCGCGTCCTCGCCGCGCGAATGGAGATTTATAGCGAGACGTCTCTCCAGGTGCGTGCCGTCGTTGGCGTCGTCGTCGCCGAACCCGCTGGCGTGTGCGCTATTGTATACTGCCGGGAGGCAGCGGGGTGTGCAGCGATGGCGGTGGCTGGCCGACCCAGCGGTTCTCGGGCCTCTCAGACGGTTCGCGACCCGAAAACGGCAAAAACGGCCTCACAGTGTGCCACCCAGTGTGCCACCCAGTGTGCCACCCAGTGTGCCACCCAGTCGTGCCACCCAGTGTGCCCACACTCGACAATGTTCCCCGCCCTGCGCTGCGAAGCCATGCAGTGCGCGGGGGCCGCCGGGAAATGCCTCGCGCCGCGCCGCGCTTCCCCGTCGCCGTCCTCAGCCTCCCCCCCTCCTCCTTGGCCGTGACAGAAAGCTCCCGCAGGCGCATGCCCATAAATCAGGCTTGATGGAAGGTGCCCCCGTGCCCCCTCCCCCTCCCCAGCCGCGCCCCGCGCCCCCTCGGGGGCCGTCCGGGAGCCACGTCGCGTACCAAACCGCGATTTCCAGCCCTGGCCGCCTTTTTACCAGCCAGCAGACTGATGCCGGGAGTCGCTTTCGTCCCTCTGCCTCTCTCACAGGACGCCACAGGAGTGCGAGAGAGACAGAGCAGCAAAACAGACTCTCGGAATCAGTCTGCCCCGCGCTTTCGCGCCCTCGCGCCCTCGCGGCCTGCTGGATAATTTACAGCCTTCCCGCGTGAATTCCCAGCAGTAAACTGCCCTCATTGTCGAGGATTCATTTCCCGGGTCGGAGCGGGAAAAATTAAAATGATTACTTGTTGCCCGACTGGCTATACATTTTGCGATTTCTTCAACAACAGCAGCCATTAGCGGGAGCAAGGCGTTCTGGCAAAGACTCGCCCCGGCCGCGGAGCTCATTTGCTTCTCGACCTGTTGCGGCTGGCAGCCGCCGCGCTTTCGGAAAGACTCGGGTTCAAATACCGACACGGCGCCTCTTTCTTGCCACAGTTAAGCCCAGCCGTTGGCGGGAAGAATAAAAACAACAAAAGAAACGTTCCCACTCCAGCGGGCCATCACCGCGAGCCACCGAAGCCGTTCTGGTGCAATCATCGACTTTCCTATACTTAGGCCGTTTGCGCGCTGTTGCGACATCTGGGCCGCTCTGCCGCACTGCAGACCGGGGGCCGTTTTCGCCGCTCTGTCTCGCCCGCACTCGCGGGGCGGCCCGGGAGGTGCGAGAGAGACGGAGCGACGGCAACGACTTTCGGAATGAGTCCGCTGGTGCGCTGCTAGCGCTGCTACGCCGTCTGGCGGCGGTGCAGGACACCACTGCGCACAGAGAGCGGCCCGCCGGCCCGCCCGGCCCCGCCCGGCCCCGCTGCTATCGGGCTGCCGGGCACGTCTCATCTGCTGATTGCATTGGCCTTGTTCCAATAAAGATGATTCTCCGAGGAATCCCGCCCGCCCGTTTTACTGCTTGGCCCCTTTTACAACGCGGAGTTGAGCCACAAAGTCGGCGAACCGCTGCTGTGGGTTCCGCACCGTACCGCACGGCACCGCACGGCACCGCACGCCGCGCCGGCTGCACTGGCTTAGCGCCCGACGAAGCGCGGGTAGGCAACCCGCCCGCACTCCTGTCCGCCGGGACAGCCTACCTCACAGGCGGCACATTGCCATTACCATTAAAGGCTAGACCATACACGATCGTACGCTATTTCGGGCCCGACAGGTACACAAAAGCAGTCAAACTCAATCTGACGCCTCGCACGTCCGGCCAGAAGAAATGTTCTTGACAGAAAAAAATGCTCTCGGGCGGATGAAATGCTCGTGGCAGAAAAATGCTCTTCTACGAAAGAAATACTTTTGGCAGAAAAATGCTCTAAGGCAAAAAAATGTCCTTGGCACAATTATTTTTTTTGCATCACCATGGTCTATTTTATGTATCTATATCTCGCTCTTGTGAAGCCCCAATTCTTTGTTTTTGCGGGGAGGGGGGACAACACATGGATGTCCATGTCCAGCGAGGTGCCGATGGTGAAGCGACCCCTTCCAGATTGCACTGCATTAGTGTGGCGCCCCTTGCGGGCCGTCGCGCCCTTTGACAAAGGGCCGGCCGTGTCGCTGTCCTGTTGACGAATGGCCCTTGTAGGTCCGGCCGGCCGAGGGGCCGAGGCGGCCGGACACGGGGCGCGGCGCAGCGCAGTGGCCAGGCGCTGCGGGGGCCCATATTGATGCCGCCCGTTATTGGTCCTTTTCGCGACGCAGCCGCCGGGCCACTTTTCCTGGACCGGAGGCCGTGGGCTGGAGCTGGAGGCTGGAGGTGGAGGCTGGAGGTGGGCGGGCGGCGCTAACGGAGGAAGGGAGAAATCGAATGCAAAACTGCCACACAACAAGGTGCGGTTTGCTCGTGTTTTGTGTAGTTTTTTTTCGCTTGAAAAGGGGCAGCTTCTGTACATGCCGATGGCTGCCCCTGGACAAAAGGGCGCCGGGGAAGGTGGCTGCTGGAGGCTGGGGGCTGGAAGGCGCTGCTAATACGAAACAATGGCAAACAAATTAGGGGGCCGCCGGCCGAGCGTTCGCTGCACCAGCCGCTTGCCCCGGGCTCGCCTCCCCATTGTTTGCGTCCGAAAGAAGACGGTCCGGGGCCGAGGATTGATGGTGGCCGTCGTGGACGCGTCGCCGTCGTCGCCGTCGTGGCCGGCCACGCGGAGGAACGCCATGAATTCCACCGGCCGCTGACAGGCGCGCCAGAAAGAAGACCCCGCTCTATTGTCTTGCGCGACCGCGCGTTTTTCTTGTCACGGCGTCGTCGTCGAACCGACCTGCCCTTCTGGCCCGGCCGGGTTGATCAGACAAGGCGGTGTTGTTGTCGTTGGCTGTGCCGCCACGACCGCCTGGCTGACTTGCCTCATCAATTTCACTGTTAGTCGCACTGAGAATTAGCCGAATTAGTGCGCGCCGTGGCTGCAGTAACCGGAAGCCGTGCCGTGCCACTCTGCGTCACTCTCGCCGCACTCACACGCAATTAGCTCATTACCCGACCCCCCCCCCCCCACACACACACACACACAGGCGCACGCCCGATTGCACGTCAGGGTCTGCGGCGTCAAGACTCTCTCGTCTCCGCTCGACTCAGCTGGCTGCCATCACACCCACATCCCCACG